CTTTACATACACGAAAAGCAATTGAATAAATGATTCCCATGTGCAATGATGTCGTTCTTAGTTTCGTAAATATTTTAATTTGAGGTTTCCAAACAATCAAACAAAAATGCTCTATTCACAATACCGGAAAGCGCATGAACAGGGTAATATATAATGTCACATAACTGATAAATTTATGCAATATATGTTATCTGAGTATTTAATAGATTCAACACGTTTGAGTATGGTTTGCATCATCTAAAGAACATCCTATATTTATGATACTAAACCCAAAGTGGAGAAATGAAAGTTGACAATTCCGGTATCGTTAGTATATATCCTACATACATATATGTACATTTTGTACACTCTTGGATTAGAAACTTCATTCTATACAAAAAAATAAATATAAATTCACCTGCTGGCTTCAAATAATTTAGGGTCTTAGCATCAGTGGCAAGACCTGGATGGACGAAATAAATCAATGTGCAATATAATTTATAATTTGGCTATACTAAAATGTAACTTTCTTTTGTATTGATTTATGGTACTGATCTGCGTGACTTTTGTTTAATATTTCAAATAGAATTCGGGTAACAGATGTTATTGATTTCTGATTAGAATATAGTGGTCAGATATTTTTTTCACATTTGAAATGATTTCCTGTGCGGTTAAAATTTAATAGAAATCTGTTGTAGCTAGATGGATCCAGGGGATCCGCCGGATTCCGCACCAGATGACGTCACATGCGTGTGAACGGAATGTGTGGCCCCGATAGGGGTCGGTATATGTTACCTAGCCCCGACCAGCTATTCAAAGGCTGTCCTTGTTTAACTGACTCCTAACCACAACTTGTAACTATTCGTAATTGTAAAGCGCACCTGTTGTCGGATAGATTTCCGCAAACAAGAAGTGTGAGGAGGTGACCACAATACAATACCTGGGTATCCTTGTACATACCTGGAATTTACCTGCCGATATACATGTGGGATTTACCTGGTTTGTCAGGTGTTAGGGGCTCAGGGTCGCTACTCCAGTGATGAAGATAGGGGTAAGGTTCCACTCACGGAAACACGTGTGGCCTTAAACAATGCTTCCTTATAGGTGAACATTTATAGCGAGGTATATAAAATTAGCAATATTGAATCCAATAAAACTCTCCATTCATGACCAACCATGCCTACAGCCGAACATGCTTGCAGCTGGCCTCACTAAATTATGTAATGTCTGTCCATTTTACCAACTTGTAAGGTAGGGTTTCACATCGTCACACTATATCTATCCACATAGTCGATAGCTTCTGCATAATTGACAACCGTTGGTTCACGGTAATTCTGGTTTGGTTTTAAGCATTCACGATCACAAACATTATTATCATTTATCTACCAGACAACTTTATGTAAAGGGCATTTGTAGTCCCAAGAAATAAAGTGTTATCTGACGAATTCATATACATACTAATAACTTGTTTGAAACTTGAAGAGAGAGAGAGAGAGAGAGAGAGAGAGACAGAGAGACAGAGAGAGAGAGAGAGAGAGAGAGAGAGAGACAGAGAGAGACCCACCACCAACACACAAAAAAAAAAAAAAACACACACACAAAACAAAACAAAACAGAGCAAAAAAATATATCTGTATTGATACGATACTTATTTTTTGTTTGACGTATTCAGCAAGTGATATTAAATACGAAATTAATCATACAATTATTTTAGCGTGAATGACATTTGTTTCTTTTAGAAATTGCACTGTCAGCAGTCATTGGCAAGTGCATCGACAAGTTAAGTAACTGGAACAAAAGAATGACTGCTTAAACGGGTCTACTGATATATTTTGCAAAGTACTGCATACAGTAAAAACAACCGGTATTCGTTCAGTATTGTGTGAATCATATTACACGACATCCTGACATTCGATTACATCATTTAAAGCTAAAAATCGTTCCTGAAAATTCAAATTTAATTCTCAGTCATGTAATTATACTATATATCAACAACGTCAAAGACATCTGTCCCCAATATGGTGTAAATCAAATTCTCCATTTACATATACTCTTACTGTAGTGGGGAGTTACAAATTAAGGTTGAAAAATATGCAAAACGTAACCAAAAGCTAGATTGGAGTCCAAGTGCGTTTTTTGGCAGGGGAGTTTTCAAGAAAAAGGAAGAATAACATTTCTAGATGAAAGGGTTCAGGAAACAGCCTGATATGAAACTATTGTGATATGATAAAATACATATGCTAATCATGTTTTTTTTCCAAAAAAAGAGGATTCGATTTAATATCAAATAATAGACCAAGGTAATGTCGACTAAATTATACTATATATTCAAATTTGTCTACTATATACTATATTGTATTGCTATCAAAACATGACAAAGCAGAGCAGAGCGCAGAACATCGATATTGAATAAAATCTGAAATGGACCGGGAGCTTTTGTTAAATTGTTTTAACAAACAAATGAATTAACAGTCACGCCAGTAAACAGATATATAGCTAGGTGTCAGTAACCGACTTAAGACAAACCCTTCCTTAAGCTGTTTGAGGTAATTGTCCGGATGTTGACTCCGCCCCTTGTGGGCGTGGCTGTATGCTGTACATTATGTTCGGGTAATGGTTCGACGGACACGATGTCACTGAGCGTGCTTTATTATGCCAATAATCGAGTCTTCATTTACATCATAAAGTGTGTAGAGGATTAGATTCAATGTACATCCTACTGATCAACAGGCTGGTACAGTGCATATTCTGAACCACAGGACACCTGCAACAAACCCACGCAGCAACCCACGGGACATTGGCCCGAGGGACGGGAATATGGCCGACGCAAAGGTGTGTCTTCCTTCTCCTCTATTACGGTAAGTTATCAATGTCGGTGACGCTTCATCTGTGACGTTGAAGCGTTACGTGTAACTCCACAGGTATTATTTATTGGCATGATATAGATTATATAGAATATTTATATATATTGTCAGAATACCTTACATTCTAGAGATATACATATTGTAATATAGATATATACATATTGTAATATAGATATATACATATTGTAATACAGATATATACATATTGTAATATAGATATATACATATTGATATATACAGATATATACATATTGTAATATAGAGATAAGCATATTGTAATATAGATATATACATATTGTAATATAGATATATACATATTGTAATACAGATATATACATATTGTAATATAGATATATACATATTGTAATACAGCTATATACATATTGTAATATAGAGATAAGCATATTGTAATACAGACATATACATATTGTAATATAAAGATAAACATATTGTAATACAGATATATACATATTGTAATATAAAGATAAACATATTGTAATATAGATATATACATATTGTAATATAGAGATAAACATTGTAATACAGATATATACATATTGTAATATAGAGATAAACATATTGTAATATAGATATATGCATATTGTAATACAGATATATACATATCGTAATATAGAGATAAACATATTGTAATACAGATATATACATATTGTAATATAGAGATAAGCATATTGTAATACAGACATATACATATTGTAATATAAAGATAAACATATTGTAATACAGATATATACATATTGTAATATAAAGATAAACATATTGTAATACAGATATATACATATTGTAATATAGAGATAAACATTGTAATACAGATATATACATATTGTAATATAAAGATAAACATATTGTAATACAGATATATACATATTGTAATATAGAGATAAACATTGTAATACAGATATATACATATTGTAATATAGAGATAAACATATTGTATTACAGATATATACATATCGTAATATAGAGATAAACATATTGTAATACAGATATATACATATCGTAATATAGAGATACATGTATAAATATTACAATCTAGTGATACAAATATTACACTCTAAAAATATACAATCTAGAAAAAACACGAAAAGAATAAAATCGCCAAGCATGAAACTTAATGCAACATTGAATCAATTAATTAGAACAATTTTTAAAGGAGTCCTGTACATTTATCATGTAAATCCCCATCGTATACGTTATAATACAAACAGCCATATTGATACTGTGTTGTCCAGATATAAACATGTATAATTAACTTCGACTTTATTGATATTTCATAGCACGATAGACCTTTTAAAGACGTGATGAAAATGTTCTCATGTAGATTAACACTATAGACATTGTTCTATATGATATTGCTGTCTTAAGACACTTTGATTATGTTATGATAACAATATAAATATTTAAGTTTATTTGAGTAAATGTCTTTCTCAGCTGTATAACAAACAGTACCGTTACCACAGGTGTATCTCTGGTATGTATTACATGGAACCTTTCGTCGGTGTGACATCTCTTATGTTATCAGTAAATATCTACATTATGTCGCTAGTATCAACAAGAATTGGGTTTAAGAGGTGTTTAAAGTGCCAGCATCCTTTCTCTCTTTACCATCATCAGAGATATATGTCTGGAGCTTATTCTCTTGAACACCATAGGCGATTTTTAAGTGTTACTTCAGTATAATCTTAACATTTTTACATTTAATATTGTCACGACAGGTTTTTCGTTTCATATCTATAGTTGATGTTTCTTGTTTATCAGTTTAACATTCTCAATCATTTTCCTATATATCTAGATTTTCAGGAACCGTTCACACTGAAGTCTTTAGTAATATATTTTAGCATTGTCAATATATTTAATATTATGAATAACGTACGCACAACAACAGTCCAATGAAATTCTGATACATCTAGAAACACGTCACCTGATATTTCTAGTTAATATTTCTACACATGTAAGAATAAATGTTTAACGATATCATGAAATATCTTAAAATGCTGTCTTAGTTATTTTTTTATGCTTTTAAATAGATATACCTATTCCATATAGACAATTTATTGTTTCAGTTATGGGGAAGGGGTTGAGGTGTTTTAAAAGCTATCTGGTTTATCTATGTTATTTCGTGCGCAGTTTAATTTCAATTATTATACATATCTATACTAATAACAGTACTGTAAAAGTCATGGTGTGCATGTTAACATTATCATACGAAAGTTCGTGATATTATCAACATTATCATGCCAATGAAAACCAACGAATAAAGCAATGACAAGTTATAGAATTAATTGTCATGTAATGATCATCGTTTAGCCTTATTGATGCAGTCGTTTTACCGTGGATTGTGGTGTATTCTGTTCGTGTTGTTTTCTGTTGTACATTTTTGGTCCGATTCTCTGCCACATTGTGTCCTGGTACATTATTCTATGATTTTATGTTCTGTCTATTTTTGTAGGATTTATACTGAATAATGATATGAAAAGTCTTTCCTTTCGTAATGTTTTAATGTTCCTTGATAACTTTATTTCAGTATAAATTATTGAACATCATAATTAATAAAATATGACTATAAGAATATTATTTCTGAGATACAAAAATAATGAATTAATTTACCAGCCGGACATGTAATTTATCTCAGTTATCAAACTCGATTTTCACTCAAAAGTATAAACATATCTTTACAAATAAGATAAAATATTCTGCATACCTCTTCTATTCAAAATGACTTAAAATAGTGTTATACCTACCTGGACGGTATCTCGTCGTGGTCTGTACCGAAAATGATGCACCTGTGATATGTAGAACACGAAACCACTACACGCTAGCTATGGCAACAATGCAATGTATTAAACAAACATAGATTAACTTTCAGTTACATGAGGCATATCATAATGTTGATCTAACCCATACTAAGTGATATGATAGTTCCTCTTTGTACCAGTGATAGCCTTTATGAATGTGGATAGACACACAACAGAGATGCTTGCTATCTAAGATACGATTTCTCATAAAGACATGCAATTAGATGCGTCAATTTCTAATAGTCATGGGTACTTATATAACGTGTTGGCGTTTTAAAGAACTAGCACAAAAGATGGAGTAGAATAATACTGAATATATTGTATTGTCATGATGAACAATTTAAAATTTCAACTCGTGATGTCATTTTATAATTAATCTGAAAAAATCTGAATGTAAAGAAACTGAGATGATGAAGATTTTGTCTTCTTACGTAATATCAAAAACGCATAGAATAACCAACTAGCTAGTGTCCATAGAGGACACATATCCAACACATACAAGGTTTATTGGGTATTATTGAAAATTAATTTTATAAGATGAGAAATAAAAGAAATTTTCACAATATTTATACAGTTTTATAAACATGATTTTTAGATATCAGTTACATGACATGTGAAACAGCAACATCCTGACTGGCTGAAGTTTTGCGAGTTATCAAATACACCAGATAACTAACTAGTGTCCTCAAAGTGGATATGTCCAACACGCACAAGGCTAATGGGTATTATTGAAAATTAATTTTATAAAATGAAAAATAAAGGAAACACTTTTTTGTTACAAATTTATTTTCTTCCTTTTTTGTTTGTTAAAAATCAGTCGAGGTAGGTTATATATATATATATAAATACCAGCATGTCAACGTATTAATTTGTTTTTGAGTATTTGGAGGTGGTGAGAAGAAGGATAAATATCATTTTGTGGGTGATAGCAAAGGTTATAAGTCGACGGGCTCTGTAAACCATACAAGTGTCTTTAAAACAAATATTTTATAGTAGATGAGAAATACTTTTATATAAACCTGGTCATACAGTTATTTCTTCTATTTGGGATTTGTCAGTTATATTAAGGTCCTTAATTATTGAAATCTAAGAAGCCACTTAGGAAAACGAAAATGAACAGACATATGTCAAAATAGAATTGGGGAAGAGAGCAATCCCTTGATTCAATAAAATTTGTGAATTTACGTTATCATGGTGTTGTAAAAGATCATCAAATATGCGTTTATGTATGGATGTAAAGGTGGCATGCTATATTACTGCATATTGCGGGGCTAAATCCACCAAAATTCACTCCATAGGTCTGTACAGAAGACGCTCAGGTGATCAATGATATCTTTATTTAATTGATTATTTTGTGAGATTTCAAGTTCGATTCAGATACGTCATTGTTTCTGTATCAAAAACATGACAAGTAACGTATTTATCATATGGAACACAGAAAATATGGCGATATTGGATAAATTTACTTTTTAAATGCATGAGTCGGTGTTTAAAGTCAAAGTGGGGTATATATATCATATATAGACATGTTTTTCACGAATATTTACATAGGGTTATAAACATTATGTAAAACTACTTATATATTTTTATTTATATTTAAGAGATGTCAAACAGCAACATTTTTGTTCTGACTGGCTGAAGTTTTGCGAGTCATCAAATACACCTGATATCGTTGAAATATAGACTGAATATCTAGCTATAAAGCGAAGTAAAAGTTAGTACCGCGAATTACAACTGTATCATATTATATGTATACCTTTATGGAAATGATATATGTTTGTAAAATAATCTTGCAGAATAGAATTACTATCACAGACAAATTTTGTCATAAAAAGTCAACTTTAAACTGGTTCTGTCGTGCTGCACATATTGTTGGTATGATAAGTTAGAGGTGGTCCAAGTTAAGTTAGTTAAATCATCGAAAGTAAGGCCATCATTTTGTCACGCTTTCTAAGCTGGCGTTTAAGGTCATTATTTCAAACACAATATCTAAACATGGTAACTGAAAATAGAAACGAATTAATCAAGGGACATGTAAACAAAAAAGGATATTTTTAAGGATTGCATGCTGACAGGAGTTTGGAGTTTTGTTTCGTCACTTTCATGTTCTATATAATCACCGCACAATGAATGTGCGTTAGCGACATGGTCTCAGAAACATTAAACAAAATCGTATAAAAGACATAAATGGCATTTTTTTAATAATGAACTCTAAAAAACCGACTTCTGTTTTTTTGTTATATTTACCAGTCATTAGATGTAAAAATTATGGCAAAATCTCCACATATTATGACTTTTATCAAACTACCATGGGATCAGAATGACCTGGTCGTTTTCTTTGAAAATGTATAGATTATAATCTTCGAGGAGTTACCCTAATCATCGATATCAAACCATTTCGAATGCGAAAAAGCAGTTTTAAAATTTGAATAGATAAGCATTAAATATTTTATGGTAATAGTGTTTTGAAATATTTAGATATTTAGTATGATATAATCTTAAGAGATTCAGAATTTTTTTGAACGTTTAGAAGAAAAAAAATAAATTTACCTAACTCATGAGAAGTTTTCTTTGAAAATTGTGAATAACCTAGATGACAACATAATCATATGTCCTTGACCAAATATGCATTGGTTTCGGTAAGGTTTACTTGTGCGTACTGAATGTACATCAAATATATCATTAAAACAAAAAAAAAACATAAGATGAATGTCAATAAATTTGAGAATAGCCAGGAAAATACATACTAGCAATTCTTTCTGAAATCAGGTAAAAATACAACTTGAAGCACAGTGGTTGATCTATGGGAGATATCGTAAAAAAAAGCAGGCTTTTGACAAAAAACCAAACGAGATAACATGTAGAGACACCGCGAGATATTCGGAAGATATACGATGGCCATTTAATGACATACCCGAATTTTCTTGATTTACATAATAATGGTGAGAAACGGTAAGATATTTTTCGCAATTGTCGTTCCAATGTGCCATAAAATGCTGAATTCACACATACAAAGACATACACTTAGATATAATTACAGGGTACAGTGTAAGTAGGTGTGACCACCGCGTCCAGTGTCGGGTGGAGTTTGACCCATCAGTGGACAAATTACAAAGCTCGGAGTGCCTCCGCGAGCTCCTGATGGGGTAACTTCAGCAAACATAGTCACATGTTCTACATAATGATTACTGCATCCAAATATTTAATAGGAACGTGTCACATTTCAATCAGCGACTGTCAAAGAGAGAAGTGTGGGTGCTTTGTGTAGGCACCGCATTATAACCATGACAGGGAGCTGTGATGCGGTCGTAAAGTGACGTCACTAGCCAAAACAAAACTGTGCGAGTCTTTAACAGCCTGCTATCAAACCAAACGCTTTAGTTACCGTCATTTTATAGTGTGATGGAACAGGTAGAATTACAAAGGAAATAAACATGAAACACAGTACCAAAATAATAGTAAATAATTAAATGGATTTAAAAATGCGGATAGGACCTAGATCCGTATAACAGGTATTTGTGTAGATCCAGAGGGGGCAGTAAAATACCCCGATATCCATGTCTCTCAAGAATTGTATGACAAGAGGATCATGTATCATTACCCTCGGCTGGTAGATAGTATTGGAATCATGTCGATTGTGGGTTTTGGATTTTATTTGATCTCATAAAATATGAAATAATTTATACAGAAGATAAAAGGCATGTCGTTCCTAAAATCTACGACTTCTCATAGTCTTTAATAATGCAATAAGCTTACGCTTGACAGGCACGTCAGAGGACAATAAAGCGTGTTTACGATCATGACTGAGCTTCGATGGAGACCTCCGATTTGTCGATCGCCAGAGCGAGGCTAAATGATGGAAGAGCTCTCTTCTTTATGTAATACACAGATTAGTCCGATAATTGGAAAACTCCCGATGGTTACATCAATATAATTGTCTTATAAATCCATTCGAGTGCTCTCCCGACGGCAGGGTAAATGGTCCGTATCTTTGACAAATTAGTAATTTATATTGAACCATACAGACTGATATAAACAAATGACCATCCTAACCACTTGTCCGTAATTATGTGGTATTAGACATGAACACAACCGTTTCCACTTTGATGTCCCACTCCCGCACTTCCTTCAGCGGTCCCAAATCGTGCATTACCGTGCGTTACAGTGCACGTGTATAACATGTCTTGGTCAGTAAAGGCCCGGTAATGGGCCCATAGAGGCATGCACTGCTCACGTGGAACCTTAAAGTCGATCGAGTGAAGACCAGAAACAATTAAATGCACATAATATGTAGAAAGATCTCCCCAAGAACAGGGCAGGTCAATAAGAAGACGGCTTATAAGATGATGTAACATTGATCGCCCTCGTAATAACGGTACACTGCTGGAATAACATCCAGGTCTTATTCCCGTATACGCTTTTGCTTTCGTTTACACATTAATCATTCAATGAATAAGTACAATGAAAAATAATTGTAAACGAGTTATGATTTTTTGCTTCTGTGAATTAAGGAGCTAATCTAACTTTGGCAATAATTTTCAATTTCAGTAAATACAAAAGCTGAGGCTATAAGATCAATAGATTGTGAAATGGTGGTCTACTTCTGGTAACGTTTGGTTGGCAATTATTTCAAGACACATATCTAATTTAGGAGGGATGTCAGGAGAAAATTTAACAGCATATTTAGCAAACTTTAGTAATTCTCAGATTGTACAAAGTTGGAGGGTATTTATGACACGATAATTCATATTTGTAGTGCGAAAGAACAACTGCAATGTTATCTAGAAGAACTAACTACACCGAACTGTATATCATAAAAACGGAGTCAGTTTTCTTATAAACCTTTTTTAGTGTTTTCTTATCTAACTCGAAATACTTATTTAATCAGGTCATGTAACAGAACTCAAAAATATGTTTTTCTGTCGCCTTGTAATGTTGGTATCAGCTAATAACAAGAATTGTTTGTGTTTTTAGGCCGATACCTGTATATGGACAGAGAGAGTCACTTTCACCTCGGATCCCAAACCTTCCATTCCAGCCGTGGGTATCCACAGATCTTGGACTTAATTTAGTGAGATCTTTCCCTCTAACGGCTTTTGTGACAGTCCAAAATCAGGTCACACAACAGCACAAAGACGTCGATATTCCCTCTGGATTCCATAGAATTGTACGTACATTAGACAATAAATCACAGGATAATCGGACGGCTTCCATTTCTAATAAGGACAGCTCGGACGTTGTTTCTCCATCTCCGTATCCTTATCCACTGCAACCATTAACACTACCAAATCGTGGACAAATCATACCGCAGTTTAATACCAACCGAAAGCTGTTCCCATGTCCTGAATGCAGATATACCACAGACAGGAGAAACAACCTCAAAAGACATATGCTTACAATGCACAGACGTTGTGCAAAACTCATGGAATGTTGCGGTGTTCTTTTCACAACAAAAGCCTCTTTAAGGGAACATTCTATGATATTTCATTACCATGGATACACGTGTTTCTACTGTGGCCGGCGTTTCTGCCGGAAGGCACTCTTGAAGCGTCATCTATCGGTTCATAACGGACAGAAAGATTTTGTTTGCCCAGTATGTGATTACGCGACCAGCCACAAAAGTAACTTAGAGCGTCACAGAAAAATTCATTTGCGTAGTGATGAAACGTCTTCACCTAGTATGGATTGCGAAGAAAAGTGTGGGTACTCAAATTCTGCAAGGATTGGAAGTGACACCGGACAATCACACGAGTCGGATATTTTGTCAGATTCGTCTGAAGAAGAAATTGACGTGAGTTAAGTAAAGGGATCACGTGACATGGTACATATATTCAGGCTCATGGGAAGTTGCAATAGTGCTAATTTTTGTAGCATGGAGAAGAAGATGACGCTAAGTACTGGTATTCATTTGCTGAAAGTTGTGCGTTGTGTTGTTATATGCATAATAAAGTTTGCGTTTCAGTTTCATTTGTTTGTTTTCTTTTGTGTTGCTTTGTATGTTCTATGCTATTTGCGAAAGCAATCATACGAATAAACAAACACAGTACATATCAATATGATGTTCTTATCTCACATTACAGATAAAAACTTAGCAACTACAGAAATTAATAAGGAATCTCAAGGTTCAGATCTGAGTGATGGTTTTCCGTGTCTAACATGGAGAGTTGCAGAAACCAATTCTCGAATTCTGCAATAAAAAAGATTGGATGAATTTGATTTAATAATTATTTTATTGCAAAACTTTGTACAATTGGAATGGGCACAAGTTTTTCCAACTTATTAAGCCCTCTCTATTATATGAATGATAAAACAATACTTAACTACAAGCAATGTAACAATATGTTGAATCATAATATTTTTCATTGAAACAAAAAAAAAAGAAGGATGTAAAGAAGAAAGGAGGATAGGTGACGAAGGAAGAAGGGAATATATAGTACAAAGGAAGAAATGAATTTGTCACCTGCATGATATGTAGCGTCTTATTTCCTCTTGAACCTTTGCCCTGCAGATGAAACGTATATATTGGACACAGTGTCTTAATTTACAAGAGTCGACTAAACGTTTATCTTTGTTGTACTCAACAATGTTATTATTTCTAGACAGTCTTATATTGGATTAAAAGTCGAACGGCCGCCAGTTTAAGAAAGATAATGTTTTGTCCACAGGTCGTGACATCCCAACGTCACAAAAATTAAAACTTCCTAGAGTTTGCACAAGTTATAACAATAAAAAAGACAATTTTTAGGATTCGTTCTTACTGACATAAATTTTCTGTCTCGTCATTTTATGAGGCCCATAAAAAGAACAAGGTAAATAAGACCATGTGTTCCGGAAAGGATATCGCCTTCTGCTTTATTGACTACACACACCACGTATTTCTTGGTCAATCTACATGTGTAGGTCATTACCAACTACAGTATAAAGGATAAATAACAACGGCACGAACTGGTAAACTGACGAGCATCAAACACGGTTACTTTCAAAGCACAAAGAAATAGAGCATTCACTTGAGAATTATGACGATTATAAACTTCCAAACGAAAAGAACAAGGACAGTTATCTTACGAATGCTGGACCCAGACTTTGTAAGTAGATGGGAGAAAAACTGTGGAAAAACTGAAAAGATAGGAGGGCACAATTTATAGTCTGTCGCAGCGTTCACTTGCAAAGTGTGCGTTTAAAGGTAGGAAAATGGGTTACATTTATTGTTGGTTCAAGGAGAAACACACATTAATCATCATGTTGTGTGATTGACACGTCCTCTCCCTGTTTAAGTCAGACTTTAACACATTAACAGTGTTACTTATCCTCCATGCAGAATACAGTGTTTACAAATGTTTCAATTTTTTAAAAATAAATTCTAGAATGTTACCTATTGTCTACATTTTTAGGATTGCAAGCGGCGATTACATTTCAAGTCTTAGATCTAATTATCCATTTCTTTCCAAATGACTCCATAGGCAAAATCTGACTTTAGTCTAAGTGTTTATTATCTGCTAATGCTATGATGGTTGTAGGTTCTGTTTCCTGACTGACCGAGACGAACTAGTCTAGAAAATTTGTACTTGCTGTGCATCAGAGACTGATAAACTGACCATTATTTATGATTTGATGCATTTGAAACACAGTTGAAATACTTACCATAGTTTTACATTTATCATATGGGGTAAAGTGATAGAAAAACATCAAACTGATATAGATGTATGACATCCGTACAATTTCGTAACGTATCTTTCTATATCCACTTCATAATTATCTGTAGTATACCATGAATGGTTAAACAGCATCTGGTCTGGCCTCAAGAAATATATCATAAAACATAGCTATATCTACAGTACCTCTATAGTATATCATAAAACATAGCTATATCTCTGGTACCTCTATAGTATATCATAAAACATAGCTATATCTATGGTACCTCTATAGTATATCATAAAACATAGCTATATCTATGGTACCTCTATAGTGTATCTATGGTACCTCTATAGTGTATCATAAAACATAGCTATATCTATAGTACCTCTATAGTATATCATAAAACATAGCTATATCTATGGTACCTCTATAGTATATCATAAAACATAGCTATATCTATGGTATCTATAGTATATCATAAAACATAGCTATATCTATGGTACCTCTATAGTATATCATAAAACATAGCTATATCTATGGTACCTCTATAGTGTATCATAAAACATAGCTATATCTATAGTACCTCTATAGTATATCATAAAACATAGCTATATCTATGGTACCTCTATAGTATATCATAAAACATAGCTATATCTATGGTACCTCTATAGTATATCATAAAACATAGCTATATCTATGGTACCTCTATAGTGTATCATATAACATACTGACATCTATGTTACCTCTATAGTATATTATAAACGAATGACTACATTTATTAAAAAATCAATATATTTTTTCATACAATACCATCTTCTGATGTAGTCAACATTTCTGCTATATTTCTGATTTCTGTTGGCACTAGATAACCGTTAAATGATGCAGTTTAATCTAGTATTTATTATTTGGCACTGTTGTTTATAATTCTATATTTTTTATCAACAGGTGCTATTCATTTGAGTGTCTCCTATACATAGATCAAATATTCTGTTTTAATGGACCCAAAGTTTGGAAGCATGGTCTTTATGTGCATGCAATGAGGATTGCTTGAATGTTTAAACACGATGATTAAGTTTTCCTTTGTATTTCCTACATATCATACTATATCAGATAGTAGTATAGTTCTAGCCTCAGTAATAAACATTGTCGAATACCTTTAACCTGGGTATATCCTTTAACAATTTTGTTTCTAGCACCCGATTTTAATATTTTCATATTCCATCTATTCGGTGCAGAGGTAACATTTTTATGCAGGCGTCACGTTAACAGCAAAACATCAACTCAGATGTCAAAGGAAATTAACAAAGCAACAAGAAAAACCACAAGGAAAATTTGAATGAAATAATTTTAAAGTCCAATATGAAATTAAAACCACAATTCAGTTAAATGGCGGCTTATTTTAACGACAAATTGATTTAGGCATCACAAACAACACTGGCATACAGCAATTACGACAATCATTTGTTTAGGTATTGTTTGTAATAAAATTCAAACTGCCTCTGTAATGGGCGTTTTATTTATAACACATCATTCAGGACAATGTTAGCGATACCAAGTTAGACAATAAACTTCAATTAGTTACGGCAGGCAGCGGAGAGCGGTTTGAGCTTCGCTGAAGTTGCTATCACTGCGGTTAATTAACCCACTTTAAGTTTCCGTCGTCCCGGAATCGTTTCCCCGCGACGAGCTTTTAGTGATGAGTCTAAAACGGATGTTTGGAGTTCTTTGCCCTTTTTACTATTGAATGCAGGAAGGTCTTTTGATTTGTTTTTACATGATTGGCTATGAAAGATGTACTGCACATCTGATACAAATACAATATTTGCTCAATATTTGCTGAATAATTCAGTTTTTATAATTTGAAAAAAAACCCAAAACAAAACAAAACAAAAACAAGCAAAAACTTATCTATATTATGTCTGTTTCTATTGGTAAAGCGAAGCGGTGAATGATTGCTATATATCTAAACTCTCTAAGTCCATTGTTATGTTTTCAATTTCCTCCATATCGTACATTAAAGAAGTCCAATCCTTCGAAATGTGTATCCGGTTGCAATGAGGTTGGTCTTGATATGGGATGTTAAGGAGCTGGTGTACAATTCTCATGTGTGATGTCCATCATTTCTGTTTTTCACGATCTTCAATATATATGGGCGTTGTTCAATTTGGGTGTGAGATGTCTATTAGTTTAACGTAATACAAACAAAAATTCACATGGGTTATCAAATGTTCGTGATGAGATGTCCAATGTGTGAAGACAAACGGCATTTTCACTATGACCAAATGAAGCACAACCAAGCGTAGATCAACATTACCCAAGTCGCCTTGCAAGTACACATCATAATTATGATTAATAAGTGAACCAAAAATGAGTTATGTTAGTCGCAACATAGCCTGGGTTAATCAGATAAAAACTGAGTATGTAGGGGGTATGTTGATACCGGAACACTATGAAGATTGAAAATGTCCCGCCTCATTTATAAATCAGTCTCTTTAAACAGCATTTCCTTGTTATAATAACCATGTTTTCATGCCTAATTTCTTTAATTTAAGGTTTCATTCTCCAGTACTTTCATCCGACACCAAGTTTCCTTTTTTTGTCGAGATGATGAATGAAAAAGACATAATTTAGTTAATACAACTGAGTGTCGTTGGCTCGTGCAGAGTGGGATCGAGGCTTCTTAGAGAATAATGAAACTGATCAGGTCTATAATTAGTGGGACAGCTATGCTCGTGCTGGCGGTCGATTACAGCCCGCTCTACGAACGATTTGATGACGAAACGATGTCGTCATGGCGAGAGGACAAAGCCACAGTGACATGACAAAGAAAGGTAGAATTTAATTAAAACAAAACCACGATTACATGTGAAGAAGTTGAGCATCGTGACCGTCATACTAAGGGTCAAATTATACACATTATCTGTGAAGTGTCCCACATAAACGACAACTTGGTTAACAAAGTCCACCTTCACTCGGACCGGTATTAGAGAGGTAATCCTAAAGGGAGGTAACTTACTAATGGTATTGCACAATTGAGCTACTAATTATTATGTTTTGTGAAAGAACTGTTACATCAAACTGTCACTCCATCATACACTATACTAAACAATAAAACATTCTAATCATTATAACCCTAATTGTCTAACTAAATAATTTCCTTTTCAA